CACACACACACACACGCAATACATTTTAAAACTTTTCACTTCTTGTTCATCCAAAAGGATGTTGTTGCTGTTGTTATCGATCCAAGACGATCAAACCGTTCCTGGTCTGAGAGGTTGATTAACTTGTCTTGGGTCAACGCTCTGTACCCCTTCCCTCCCCCCCTCCCCCCCCTTATGCTTACACTACCTGCAAGGCTATGGTGTTTGCAAACTAATAGTAAGAGCACAGTTAATGTCCAGATAGACTATGTGGGTCAAGCTTTAGGTGGATGCTAGATCGGTTATGTTCCTGGTTCATTCTAGCTCGAGTATTTTAGAAAGGCTGAGAAAAATGCTTTAAACTTAAATAAGACTAGCTGGGCCCCCTTTCGAAGAAAGCAATGATCGGTGTTTTAATATTAACTAAAAGCCACTAAAAGTCATTGGCCTACTATATTTACACTCTATTGGAATGGGGAAATAAATCCAGAGAGATGCAAAACATTAGAAGGTCTAGATCTATACTCTCAAAACAAAATATCGCTTCCGGGTTTTCTAAAATTAGAGACAGAAACTTCGGCCTACAAAAGCGATCGGCGAAATAAAGAAATTTAGCTTTTTGCAGCAAAACTGTCTCAAAACTGAAAAAACCAAGGGCGTCATGAATTTTTTGGCGAAAACCGCATGGCGATCGATGCAGCCATTAAAAAGCCTTTTGAATAGCAAAATTCGGACAACACAAATAGATAATAAGATTCAAACTTCTGACTCTTCCTTGGCTGATCAATGATGTAATACTCAGAACATATTGAAGAAAGTTTCATCCAATCCCTAGCCTATTTGACATGGTTTGATATGTTTGAGGATGGCCAGAGTTTCATTCATGGAGAGTTAAAAGCTGCCAGTTTGGCATAATTTGATCAAATCTTCCACTCAACAAAGTGACTTACCGATAGATTTAGACTTACCACTCAGTCCAAGCCAAAAGTATTGTGGTTTTGATCCAGATTTTCTTGCATCCAATATGTAAGGCTTGATTTTGTTATGGACATCAGCCCTTTAAATAGAAAGAATGTGTAGGAATCTATAAAAATAATAAATAAAAACACAACGATGTTTAAAAGATAGTGTATTCAGCAACACCCTTAAAAGCAAAAGTTATGAATTGGGGAGGGTAAGAGGGCTCTCATGGTCTGAAAGTTAAGGCGTTTGACTCTCATGGGGGCTCCAGTGGCTAAGTGAGTAGTGAGTTTTGACTCAAGCAATGTCAAGCAAGTGTCGGTGACACGGGGATCAGATGGGTGGTCACTGGAAT